ATCAGCAATGGGTATTTGAATCTACGGCAAAGAGCCTCATCGCCTCAGCTCCCCCCTCCTCACCAGCGAATTCTCAGGTACTTGCTTCCCCCATTTGTTTAAACAATTCAAATATATGCTAATCTATAGTAGTGGATGATGTCTGATTACTTGAACTATGAGTGGAGTTCTTTATAGTTCTTTTACTTGTTTTTTTTTTTTTTTAGAACATGGTTTGGTTGGTTTACTTGTAGATGAATTAAGGACGAAATTATGAATAAAATATTAGAATTTGCAATTTGAAGTAAAGAGAAAGTGTAAGGAGGGAAGGTGCATTAAAGTGATGCGGAAATTGAAGAAGGTAGGGAAGATGGTTTGTGAATGATGAGCCAATGGGGCATTTTTTTGGTGGGCAACTCTGTGTTGGCATAAGCTTTTTGTAGCGACCAATGGGAGCCGTGGGATCATTAATTTGGGATTAGGGAAGGGTGGTGGTCCCCACACACACGCCCTCACGTCGTCGTCACACGTAATCTTAACCATCCTGAAAGAACCTGTTAATCGGACGGCAACGAAGAAGCCACATCCTTCCCATCCCCATCTTCTTACTTTTCATTAAAGAAAAGAAATTTAAGAGAGAGCATCATCCTGAGAGAAACAAAGAAAGAAATCAAGAAAATCCAAACCCAAAAAACCCCCCCTCCCCACATTCGCTTTACCTGTTCTCACCGATTTTAAAGATCCCTTCCCCAAGGTCAATTTTGGAATTTTACCTCCCTTCTAAATCATCCCTCCCACGAGTTTCTGTTTTCACTTTTTTCTTTTTCAAAATCTTCACTGCTTTCCTTCCGGTTTATCATTTACGATAATACTCCTACTTAAAACGCCTTTTCCTTTTTTTCCTTTTTTGTTCTGTTTTTTTTATTAATTAGGAACTCAGAGACGGCGGGGGCGATGAGAGGAAACGGCAACGCCGGTGTTAGGGGAATTGCCTCACCGGACAGGGTGGCGCACGATAGAAGAGGAAGCAACAACAACCACCATCATCACTCCAACAACAACAACAGCCATCACCACCATGACAATAACAACAAATCAGCTGCCACATCGGACACGGCGCACGATAGTAAAAAGGGCGGGTCTTCATCCGGTGGCAGTGGCGAGGCAGTCGTCCCCCAAGTGTGGCCGCCAAAATTCGCTATTGCTTTGACGAACAAAGAGAAAGAGGAGGATTTCTTGGCCATCAAGGGCTCCAAGTTGCCCCAGAGACCCAAGAAACGAGCCAAGGTTATCCAACGCACCGTCAACGTAAGCCTCCCTTTCTCATCCTCTTTTAACTATCAATTCATTATCTTTTGTTTCTTTTAGTTTGCTTTTTGTGTGGCCTAGGAAGTGATCTTACTTAAAATTAAGAGAGAAAAGAAAAATGAAAGCGTAGGAATTTATTCATAGAAGTCCTCCCTGGGATGCTACAAAACAACACTGAAGCTTTCACGGGCTGCGTTTGGGTCACATTCTTGTATGGGATAGGACAGGGTGTACGGTAATTTTCAGGTTGGCTGCTGTGTTGTTGTTTGTATCGCTCTCCTTGTCTTCTCGGCATTCTCGACATATGTCTGGGTAGAACCAAAACAAAAAAGGGAACAATTTTGGTAAAAAGCATGTCTCATTGTTTTACTATATAAAGAAAATAATTAATATTTATCTGGGGTTCTTTAATTAAGTGAATCAAAAAAATTGAAGATAAATCTAAAACCGACTAAGGAAGCTCAGACATCCTTGTTTGGGGGATAAAGTAAGGTTTGTTTGATGACTTCGGGCAAGTATAAATATTAGTAAATTGGGCAGAACAAAAGGGGTTAGTAGAGAGTAATTACTTGGGGAGGTTTAGTTTAATAAATTGTACTAATTATAATTAATAGAATAATAAAGAGGATGGTCCGATGGAAATGGAGGTGCATTGGATGCCAATTGATTACCAACATGTGTACGGTGATGATTGGGTGGGGGTTATCGGACTGCAAATGAATGGCCCCCCTAACTTTTGTAAAGAAGGTGCTTTTTTAGATTGGGCCCCGAAGCAGTTGACTGATGAACCCCACCTCCAAACCATTATTATTTCACTTGATGATGCATAGTATATTGTGTTATTAAATGTGGGTGGCATTATTTTATTTGGGATGGGGTGTTCGTTTGCTTTATTCCATTGAAATATAGGTACTATGTGTTGTAGTATTAACCATGGGGTTGGACGTTGGTTATGATTGCAGCTGGTGAGTCCGGGGTCTTGGCTATCTGATCTGACTCTCGAGCGGTATGAAGTTCGGGAGAAGAAGATTTCTAAGAAGGTGACTCTCTAGCTAATAATTTGTTGTGGTTGATTCGATTTGATTAATGGAGATTTATGATTAATGGTTTGATCATTGATGGCAGAGGCCGAGAGGATTGAAGGCAATGGGTAACATGGAGTCGGATTCAGAGTGAAACGAGTGAGTATCCTTTGGGGATGCCATTAATGTACAAACTCTATGGATTCCCTTTTTAAAAATGGTTAGCCAGATTGAAAGGGCAGAGCAGAGAAAGTAGGCAATTCTTTTTTGTTCATTTCCTCTCTTGTTTTATTCATTCATTCATCCTTCTTGAAAATGGCTTCGTTTCACAGTTTTATGGGTGAGTGGAATATGCCAATTGAATAATCTAACAAAGAGGGGTTTTAAACTTTAAAAGCTTTAAGATAGAGAAGAGAAGAAGTTTGTATGATGTTCTCTTGTTTGGGTGAAATTGTTTCGAAGAGAGTTTTTTACACAGCCAGAATCGAGTTTGGGTTGAAGATAATAGTTATATTGGTTTGATCTTGGTGCAAATGAACCGGGTTCACAATCCAATGAAACGAGTTCATTATATTTAGTTTTGTATACTTCAAACTTTAACCCTAGAAATTTAAGCTCAACTTAGATTCCGACCATCAGTTCAAAAGGGGTGTATACAAATAGTAACTACATTTCCCGTGGATCTTCGATAAAAGTAAAAACAAAAGTAAACTGTGAAATATATATTATCAGATTTTTTTTTTTTTTAAAAAAGGTATATATAAATGAAGTGATAATGGACCCTTTGAAAATCGCAGAGGCATATTTGGCGTCGGCTGCACAAGCAGCCAACGGAAGGAAACCCACAGACAAACCGCGTGATTCGTTCAAAATATCCCATGCTACGTGGCCACGTGTTAATGGATACTTCTCTCTATCGATTCCACGCGTATCCCGAAGCACATGGCCAGGCCGTCCCTTCGGCTCTTAATTGAAATTGAACTCATATTTCCAAGAATGTGCAACGATTAATCACGTTGCTCATAACAGTTTTCGATCTATATAATCCCCTCTACTAAGATTACTTTTAGATAGCGCCTTCTAGCTGTCCCATTGATAATGAGAGTCTACCATAGATTCATAGAACCCAGCATTATGATTCAATTCTATTCTAGACGACGACGGATTGGTTCATAACACCTGGCCCCTAATTGTTTTGCCGGAATTTCCAATTTAACTTCTGAAGTTGTAATCAGCCAGAAATTGTTAAGACAGTCTCGTTTGGACAGGATGGTTTGGCAACAGGAAACGGAACCACTAGGCTTCATTACGCTCTCCGATTACGTATAATCAGCAATATAAATATTAAGCAATTCCGATCGAAGAAAATAATAACAAGAGAAGTGAAAATAAAATGGAGACTAACAATACCACGAAAGGGAGTAGAAAATTGAAATAACTTATTTACTCAAATAATGTCGATATAAAAAATAACAATGATGAGATAACACACAATGAATACATGAATACAAACCAGCAGTATCTAATTAAATCTAATCTCAACACCGAAGAGCATGTCCTATACACTCAATATATTAGTCAATCAAACCCTCAATAATCGAGCATCAGTATCGAATCCATGGATAAAGTCCCAAAAAGCGTACGAAATATCAATGTGAGCTTCAAGCCTTGAGTGCAGATCCAAAGACGAGAGCGACGAAAGCACCAACGCAAGCGAAGCTCAACGACGGGACGACAGAGGTAGCCGGAGAAGCCGGTGCAGGAGCAGGGGACTCAGCAGATTGTGCAACTGCAACGGAGAAGACGGTGAACAGGACGGCTACAAGAGCCATGAATGAAGTCTTAGAGACGGCGGCCATTGCTCCGAAAATTTCTAGGGTTAAGAGAAAACCGAAGAAAATTGAGAGACTTGAAAATGCCTGATGAAATGGAACTTCGACAATGGAAAAGAGCGGTGGGGTTGTGTTTATATAGAGAAAGAGGACAGCTAAAAACGAGTGGAGGAGAGAGCATCGGGCAGGACGGGCAGATGCCCGTGTTACAAGCTGGCCATTGGTTGAGTGACAGCTCATTTTCCTCATATTGGTTGATCACCCACCCTCCAAATTCCACAATTTCGGTTTAGCTAAATTAACGACGGAGGGCATCTGCGTCAAAACACGCGCTTGAGAATACGCGTGGAAAAGTGGGCGTAAATGTTGAACCAAATAAAACGAAGGGGATTTTCCATTCTGTTGGGGCCCACAGCACCAAACAATAATTTACTGCCAAACCAATGGAAATGAGACGCGTGGCAGTGCTGAGATTTTTGAATGGCTCTGTTTCCAGAACCTTCCTTCGTTTCAAAGTTTCTAATAAAATATGTTAATTACTAAAGCCTGTAAATTATAGGGACCTAGCTAGACGTGTTTACCTGGGCCATGATTATGATATTTTAGGACCAAATGGTTTGAAGATTATGGAGGCTCCTTGATGGTCCATGACAGCCTCAAAAGTCACGAACAGTTGGAAATTGAATATTAGTCTTTAAAATAAAATAAGCAAAGAAACAAAGATCAATTTCCCCATCGCTTTCTTTTGAATTGAAACAACGAGCATCATCCCTTCCATACCTGCAAGCATCTTCTTTCTTTTATTCATTCATTCCAAATCCTCTCTGCAACAAAGATGTTACATTTTGCATTACATCTACTTTCTTTTGTGTTCCAACTCCAAAAGAGTGTGTTTTTCTGCATTGATCGAAACTCGACTTAGCTCACTCCCTGCTCCTCTACTCTGCTAATGTAACCTGTTAGTCTTCAATATCCCAACACTTCTGATGCTAAACGTAGCAACGGCTGCAACGAACTCGGCGCAAATTTTCTTGCAAACAGAGAGCAGATGGAGGAGGCTTTGTCGTTGTAACTGCAGATCCGACCGTCTACGACATCTCTTAGCAACTCTTCGGTTATGTCCTGTCGTCCAAACGTGGCGGGGTGAGCGCCTCCTCTTGACCAATCCACCCATGTGATGCTTCTGTTGGCTATAACGTGACTAGCTTCTATTGTGAGCATTGTCGGGAAATAATGCTCGTCGACGTAGCATGGCGGTCGACAGAACTCTTCAAACTTCTCATAAAATTTGGTGTCTTGCACTATGTTGATTGCAAGCTTGCGGTTCACTTCGAACCACTGTGAGCCTTTACGCCATTCTGTGATGTTCACCTCTGGTGCCATGTCATCCCTGTATCGCCCTCTCCCGTAAGGACCAAGGTCATCAAACGAACCCACAAAGCTATATTTGGATTTCTTCAAGTAGTTGTATGTCACACTGAAGTTGTAGAGGGGAATGCATGATTCCGAGAGGAGAATGAACCATTCGTTGTTCACATCGAGCAACGCATTGGCTAGGAGTCGTTTCTCCGCATCACATATACTCATTCTTCCCCATTCTGCTACCTGCCACAAAGAATCAACAGATATTCCTAAATGTATATCATCAAAAACATGGTGGGTTAACTTGAGCAGAGGATGAACACAGATTACAAAGCTGCAATTTCTTAGACAGCCATTCAAGGATTGAAACATTCTTAGCCATACGATTTCGTTTCGACACAGAAATTTCCAAGGTGTTGATCAAATTCATCAACAACTTTTCCTGTTCATTGTGAAACCTGGTTAAAAACAGTTTCATCTGTTCAAGCCAACAAACATATACTATACCGTTCTAATGCCAATCACAAGCCCATTAAAGCATCATTCAAGCCACTTAACATGTTAAGAACAAGGGAACGGAGCTAAAATCATGAACAGTTCAAAGAACAAGGTGGCACCACAAAATGATTCTCAAAACAGCTCATAAGTCAATGATTGTTTCAGCAAAACCCGTTATAAATGCAATCAAAGTTCAGTTGAAACAGTTCATGGGTGGCACTAGCTAACAACAGGATGAAACCAAAACATACCTGGCTAGGAATTTGTCTTCCATGAAATGCAGAAGCACGAGAAATATTGGCTTTGAACGATGGCAACGAGTGAACGTAAATTGAAAAGAGGCGTTGATGTCCGCTCAGAAATCTGTCCCAAAGTGGGGCAAGTGGCAATGGACCTTTAGTCAAGAACATAAAAGCAATTTTCGGAACTCTTTCAAAAGGGTAGTTCTTAATCCGAGGTGAAAACGATGCTCTCCAAAACAACTCCTCGTCGGTCATTGAGTGCATCAAATCCCCCGGAGCCTTAATCCACTGACCTAAACTAATATTCGATTCCCTCAAACAGGGAAGAAAATTGGACTTAACCGTCGTCACTGCACTTTCAATCCCAAAATGGCGGATCGTATACAAACTAAGAACCGAAAACGCAACACAAAGAACCAAAAACGACATGAATAGCTGAAGTAACCTCAACGGCAACGGCTTAGGTTGGTTTATCCGGCTCATATGTGCAGGGTCTTTCCCTTCCTCCAGTAGCAGAACTTTCGACTGCATCTCGATCACAATCAAAATCACCGATCTCAGATAAGCACCGCTCCCCTTCAAATCCACGCCGCTGATCGGCTTAGAATCCTAATTTGGCGAGGAAATCGGGAAATCGCTGAACTATTGAAATCTCTAAACGCTGAAAAAGATTTTTACAAAGTTCAAGAACGTTTCAACACCGGCAATTCGAAAAGTCCATGGCGGGTTTTAAAGAAAACCCCACTCGAAAGGGATGATCAAAGTGATGAAAACCAGTTGCAGAATTTGGCGGTCAATCGAAGAACAAGAAGAAGTATCGCGTTGAGTTGGAAGTGGACGTTGTGAGAGTGGAGAAATTGAAGAAGGAACAGTGATCTGAGAAATTTGAAGAACGTGTTTGGCAGAATTTGCGCCCACACAGATTGGGAGGAATGCCGCCTCTCGATTACACCTACGGCTCTCTGTCGCTTTTAATGGAATTTTTTGTATGCGCCAACTCCACCCTACTTTTCTGTTTTATTCCCTTCCGAAGAATTTTCTTGAGATTTAAAGTTTATTTTATTATTATTATAAATTAGATTTTTTTTTTTTTATTTTGAGTTTTATTCATTTATTGTTGGTTGTTTTTAGACACTTTTAAGGGATTTTAGTTAGCTCTACCTCAAATTATCCAATATGCTCGATACTATCTTCTTAACAGAAATAACGATAACACTTATAAATACTATATAAAAATTAAATTATTTAACTAAATACTCACGTGTCAATTAATTAATAAATATTATTTATACCATAGCCTAAGAAACATACAAATAATTAAAACAAGAGACAAAAAAAAGACTTATATTTAAAGATTGCTGTACATAAAGATGTTCATGGGTCAAGAAGGTGTCGGGAATGACGAGATTCTTCATTTAAAATTAATATTTATTAATGAAGATAAATAGAGAAAAAGAAATCCAAATTCTGAAAATATACATGGCAATGGGACAAATTAAAACGGCGTCGTTGCTTTCTTCCCAAACTCTTATTCATGGGCCTGATAGTTCGGCCCAATACTCTACCTGCGTAGGCCCAAGGTATCATCGGGCTTTGAAAAGGCCCAAACACGTTTGAAGCCTTAAATTGAAAGGCCTTACTTACCCTACCATGTTTGGATTTATACAGAAATAGAAATATTTATCTATAATTTAAATTAAAAAAAATTAAAAGCAGGTAGGAATCTCTACTAATTGGTGACAAACCTTGGCTTTTAAGAGAATTTTGCCAGACCCTCGGTTGGTGTTGGTTCTTGAATTGTCGACTTTTTAGAGAACCATATTCTTGGTTTGGCTCGTGCCAGTCTCCAAATAATCTAAAATCAGGTGAAAGAGAAAGAACGAGACAAACACCGAACGTCATAATTAAAAAATGAATAAAATTTAAATAAGAAAACATATTAGTCCTCTACAATTTTCCTTCATCATTTTTAACTTTTTCCATATTTATAATATGATCAAACCTATCTTAACCGTGCAATGCGTGTGCCTCGATTTTCAAAAAAGTCCAAATCAACGAATACTTTTTCTCCATAATCGAAAGGAATTTTATATGAATTTGAATTATTGAGGATTCTAATAGAACGGAACGAAAAAAATCTGATTTAAAATGGAAAAAAAAGTTTGAAAATAATAACACACGCAAATGCAATAAATTAGAAAGCTTTTGTAATAATTTGACAAATATCGAGACTTATGCAATTATTTATTCGTCACGCGGCTACCGATAAAAGAAAATTTTATTTCCATAAATATAGTAATAATTTAGAAAATTATTTATTATATCTACATCACTCTTTACATTAATACCCCTAAATATTTTTTATCAAGATTTTTACGCTATTTGTCATTTAAATAGAAAAGGGTTATATCCTAATTTCGTGCTTATTTTCAAAGCTTTTGAAATTATCATACTTTCGTCTTGAAATATTGAACCATTCAATTTAAACGTATGATTCTATCCCTTCTAATAAGTACGTTTTTCCAAAAAGATTTAGATTTTAGTAGAATTTTGATTTTTATATTTGGGTTTGTTTATCAAAATAATATACTTAAATTAATAAAAGTCCTTACAACATACTCATAATAAACTTTTAAATTTTTTAATTAGAAAAAAAAAAAAGTTGATTAATATTTTATTTCAAAAATTCTTTCAACATCAACCCGGTTTAAAAAATAATTTTGAATTTTCAAACATTTTATTAATACTCTTAAATTTAAATTTTAATATATATATTTATTTATATTATTATTACCCCTCTTAAAAAAACACTCATAAACTTCCAAATATAATATTAAAAAATTAGAAATAATCTATAACACGTCAATATATTTTTTTACTTATTTTTGTAAAGGTAAGTAATAGTATTTATAAAAGTTTGCGGGTATTATTTAAATATATTATTAATAATAAAAGTATTTTAATTTTTTTAATTTAAAAATAAAGTAAATTTATATATATTAAAATGTAGGGGTTGAGGTAGCAAATAAAATAGATGGGGAAATGAGACTGTGTGGTTGTTGCGTGAAAATAACATTGGGCTAAGAGGGAGGCCCACATATAAATATTGTCTTATAAAGACGTGTAGTGGACGGGATTGTTTGGTTACGGGATTACGTATATCCTTTTAAATCCACTCCCATTCCGTAAAGTAGAGGATCCAGATATTCATAACCGGATCGGGTTTCACCCTGTTCCCGTTACACAACAATTCCCCTTTCATACAATAATAATTGAGCATTGTCTTTATGTGGAAGCAATAGAGGGAAGTAGATATTATATTATGAGGGCCCACCGAAGCTGAAGTTGACCAAATCTTGTCGTCTTCAAATCTTTAGAGATTGCGGATTATACAATTTAAGCAGCTAAAAAGGAGCGGCAGCTTCCACCACAACATCACATTAAAAAACAAATATTTTTTTTAAGATAAGGACGGCCATAATTTCCATGTCACGAACCTTATCTGTAATTAATGGTGAGATGCCGCTGACAACAAGATTTACATTTTTTTTACTGAAAATCCCAAAATATTGTTACATTTCAAAATTAAATCAAACCCCACCCCCATCCTACACCCTTCTTACGTACCTTTATTCCGGCAGCCATAAAAATTTCGTATTTTCAGATGTACAACAAAAACAGAGTAATTTAACCCAAAAAAGAACATGAAAAACTGTGAAAATTGCGCAAATTCACCACCAACGTTTGTATTCACAGACATAACCCGACAGGCCGCCGATGAGTAAGTTTAGGAACTTTACATTAATAGCTCCGAGACCCATCCGACATCGGGTGTCGACGTCGAATCCGCCGCCTCTTTCACGGAGTTGTCTTTGCTGAGTTTTGCATACATTTTGGCTCTCAGGTCTCTCCCTGATTCCACTCTCTCCATTGCGGGTTCTTCCTCGTAACTCTTCCCCCACAATTCGTACTTTCCGGTCGTCGGAGTTGACGGTAGGCTATAGAAACCAGAGCCGGAGGGAGAGCGCAGATTTTGTCCTAATTGAATCCCCCAATGAGGGGTTGCCTTTGATTTCCCTATTTTAAGATGAGACGAAGCCAGTTTAGTCATTGAATTAAATGACCCACCGCCGAGTTGGGGGCAATTCGGCGACATAGGGGGAGAATCCGACGGTGGAGAGACCGGCGGCATTGATATAATTGAAGTGGGTGAGGTCACAAGTGAGCCTTTGGCGAAATAGGAATCGAATGCGAGTGAAATTCGAGGGGACCCATCTACTGAATCGGCCGAAACCGGAGTTCTCGGGCTCTGCTGTGGCAGAACCCGGAGCTGTTCCGGCAAATGGGCGAAAAAACAGACACGGCGGCGGCAGGCCAGTCCGTCTTTACAAGGCTGAGTCCTATACCGAGCTGGATGGAGCCAACACTCGAAAATCCCATGAGCGAGATCGCAAGAATCCCCTTTTTTGCAATTTCCTTTCCGAAACTCGGGACAGGCCGTGCCGGAGTAATGATACTTCCTCGGATCTCGTCGGCGAGCCTTCTCGCCGGGATGGGCGTACGGACACTCTGTCCAATCGTGCGATCTCCCACGTGCACATCTCCGGATTTTGAACTCGAACATACGGAAATGGTCGCAGGAAAATCCATCCACCGCTTCTTCCGCCGCGGTGGAATCCGCCGCCGAGGGCAGATAACGGTGAATGGCGGAAAAGGAGTCGATAAATGAGTCGAGGCCACCGTGAATGAAGACCGGCGAGGAAATTCCGATGCTATGGTGGTCTTCGTGTGGGTCCCAGGGGGGAACTTGAATGGCTTGAGTGAATCTAGATTGTTCGCCGATCATGTTTCAGCTGACTGAGTGTATGAAGAAAAGGATCGAGTGGGGACTTATAAATGATAAACCCATGGAAAGAGCGGAGTAGGTTTTTAACCGTGGATGGGTTAGCGACTTGGGTGGTTCGGTTAGAATATTAATGTCAGAGAAAACGTCAATACTACAATACTGCCCCCACTCTTTATTTCATCATTTTTATTATAAAATAGTATATAGTCCCATCCCATATTCATTTTTGGCTTCGGTACGAAATTCAACCTTGTTCGGTCACACACATAATTCGTACGTGCATGTTTAATCGTGTGCAACACAATCACGTTCCATTTTATTTTTCATCTCAGTTCCCAACAACACAATTCATGCGTCGTGATGTCGTCCCATGTCTCAGGACATATTGACCATCTAGGCTGGCTCAAACACATCTATTGGGAACTAGCCCATATGTCAATCGTCTCATCAGGACATCCCAACCATTCATCCATCCAAATTCTTTCAAACATCGGACTTTTTTGTGTCCATGATAAACCATTTACAACATATGTTTTAAATAGCAGGTGCATAATTTTACTTCCAACACATGGGCTAGGGAACAATACCGGCACACCCATGTCATCCGATATTGTCTTTGAAAGACCCTTTTTAAATAAAGACACATAAGATGCATACCCAGACTGTGACACACGTCATAGGATATCTGGTTTAGGCTACATAGCTTAGGAGAGATAGAAAGTGAATAAAAATAGCCTTTTCTTTCCTAATCTTTAATAAGCATGATTAGTAGACATATATAACGACAAAAGTGTTATGTACGCATATGGTCACGGATATAAAATTAAAATTTAATTGCTAATTAAATTGTTAATCTAAAAATTAAGAAAGGCTTCTTGGGAGGTCTTTAATATGAGTAGTTGAGTAGGTGTATAAAAGAATGGGTAGGTAAAAATAATTAATATTTACCGGACGTGAGGGAGGGGGTGTTGTTCCGGCACTAATAACCTATTATCTACATTTAGCCTTCATAAATCCCACATTTAATTCCCATTAATCAATTTTCCCCCAATCAAAAGTAATTACGTTCCTTTGGTTTGGAATTAAACAGCCAGCCCTACAAAAAAATCGTACCTTTTTTTATTATTCATTTATATGCTTCATAAACACCAATTTAATTCATTTTACCTACTCA